CAAAATAAGAGTGGGAAAGAACTGCCTCCTCAAAGTAGAGCTGACCTTAACTATGTAGACAGAGTAAAGCATATGGGACCTTCATTTGCTGATGTGCCACAAGTTCAAAATGAGAAGCAACAGCTGTAAACATCCATTAATCGGGACATAAAACATACGAAGTATGAATAAGGAAAACTGGAAGCTGTCAAAAATGAAACATAAAGATCAATATCCTAGGAATTAGCTGAAATGGGTTGGTTTTGGCCATTTTGTACCTGACAATCATATGGTCTACTATGCTGGGAATGACAAATTGAAGGGGGATGGTGTAGCGTTCGTCATCAAAATGAACATTTCAAAATCTATTCTGAAGTACAACGCTGTCAGTGGTAGGATATATCCATACGCCGACAGTTACTACGACTATTATTCAAATTAACACACAATCACTAATGCCAAAGATGAAGAAATTGAAGATTTTTACCAACTTCTGCAGTCTGAAATTGATCAAACACACAATCAAGATGCGCTGATCATTACTAGTGATTGGAATGCAAAAGCTGGGAACAAAGAAGGATAGGTAGTTGGAAAATACGGTCTTGGTGATAGAAACAATGCTAAAGATTGCATGACAGAATTTTCAAGACCAACGACTTATTCATTAGAAATACTTTTTTCAACAACATACGCGGCGACTATACACATGGACCTCACTGGATGGAACACAAAGGAATCAAATCAACTACATCTGTGGAAACTACAATACAGAAGCTCAATATCATCAGTCAGAACATGGCCAGGTGCCCACTGCAGAACAGAACATCAATTGCTCATGTGCAAGTTCATATGCTAAAGAAAATTAAAACAAGTCCACAAGAGCCAAAGCACTACCTTCAGTATGCCCCACCTGAACTTAGTGACCATCTCAAGAATAAGTCTGACCCACTGAATACTAATGACCAAAGATCAGACAACTTGTGGGATGACATCAAGGACATCATACGTGAAGAAAGCAAAATGTCATTTAAAAGACAGGAAAGAAAGAAAAGACCAAAATGGATGTCAGAAGAGACTCTGAAACTTGCTCTTGAACGTAGAGTAGCTACATAGAATGGAAGAAATGATGAAATAAAAGAGATGAACAGGAGACTTAAAAGGGCAACTCCAGAAGATAAAGTATCATAATAAAATGTGCAAAGACCTGGAGTTAGAAAACCAAAAGAAATGAACACACTCAGCATTTCTCAATCTGAAAGAACTAAAGAAAAAATTCAAACCATTGCAATACTGAAGGGTTCTATGGGCAAAATAGGAGTACTGGAGGTGCAGTGGTTAAGAGCTCAGCTGCTAACAAAAAGTTTAGGGGTTCAAATCTACCAGTCACTCCCTGAGAACCCTATGGGGCAGTTCTACTCTGTCCTACAGGGTCACTATGAGTCAGAATCAACTCGAAGGCAATTGGTTTTTTTGTTTGTATAGGCAAAATATTGAATGATGCAGAAAGCATCAAAGGATGGAAGGAATACACAGAGTCACTGTACCAAAAAGAAGTGGTCAATGTTCATCCATTTCAGGAGGCTGCATATGATCAAGAACCGATGGTATTAAAGGAAGAAGTCCAAGCTGCACTGAAGGCATTGGTGAAAAACAAGGCTCCAGGAACTGATGGAATACCAATTTAGGTATTTCGACAAACCGATGCAAAGCTGGAAGTGCTCACTCGTCTATGCCAAGAAATTTGGAAAACAGCTACCTGACCAACTAACTGAAGAGTCCATATTCATGCCCACTCCAAAGAAAGGTGATCCAACAGAATGTGGAGATTACTGAATAATATTAATATCACACACAAGTAAAATTTTGCTGAAGATTATTCAAAAACGGTTGCAACAGTACATCAAAAAGAAACTGCCAGAAATTCAAGCCAGATTCAAAAGAGGACGTGGAACGAGGAATAGCATTGCTGATGTCAGATGGATCTTGGCTGAAAGCAGAGAACACCATGAAGACGTTTACCTGTGTTTTACTGACTATGCAAAGGCATTCGACTGTGTGGATCATAACAAATTATGGATAACATCGCAAAGAATGAGAATCCAGAACACTTAATTGTGCTCATGCAGAACCTGAACATAGGCCAAGAGGCAGTCATTCGAACAAAACAAGGGGATACCGGGTAGTTTAAAATCAGGAAAGGTGTGTGCCAGGGCTGTATCCTTTCGCCATACTTATTCAATCTGCATGCTGAGCAACTAATCCGAGAAGCCAGACTATACGAAGAACAGGGCATCAGGATTGGAGGAAGACTCATTAACAACCTGAGTTATGCAGATGAGATAACCTTGCCTGCTGAAAGTGAAGAGGACATGAAGCACTTGCTAAGAAGATCAAAGACTACAGCCTTCAGTATGGATTACACCTCAACATAAAGAAAACAAAAATCCTCACAACTGGACCAATGAGCAACCTCAGGATAAGCGGAGAAAAGACTGAAGTTGTCAAGGATTTCATTTTACTTGAATCCACAATCAACACCCATGGAAGCAGCAGTCAGGAAATCAAATGACGTACTGGACAAATGTGCTGCAAAAGACCTCTTTAAGTGTTAAAAAGTAAAGATGTCACTTTGAGGACTAAGATGGCCCTGACCCCAAGCCACGGTATCTTCGATCACCTCATATGCATGTGAAAGGTGGACAATAAGGAAGACCAAACAAGAACTGAATTATGGTGTTGTCGAAGAATATTGAATATAACATGGGCTGCCAGAAGTACAAACAAATTTGTCTTGGAAGAAGTGTAGCCAGAATGCTCCTTAGAAGCGAGGATGGCGAGACTTTGTCTCACGTAGTTTGGACATGTTATCAGGAGGGACCAGTCCCTGGAGAAGGACATCATGTTAGGTAAAGTAGAGGGTCAGCGAAAAAGAGGAAGACCCTCACTGAGATGGACTGACACATTGGCTGCAACAATGAACTCAAACACAGCAATGATTTTGAGGATGGTGCAGGACTAGGCAGCTTGGGCAGTGCTTCATTCTGTACACAGGGTCATTGTTAGTCAGAACCAACTTGACAGCATGTAACAACAACATACATATACACACACACATATCTCCTAAAACTAACTAGGGATAAAGAGAAAAAGATTTTCCTTAGAGCATTTCTAAGTTAGCATTAAGGTTCTAAGTACAAAAATTTTCAATATTCTAAAAAAAAAAAAATTTGAGATAGAAGAGAACCATGACAAAATAAACTCAGTTTTACAACATTTTTAAAGGAAAATGATATATTACTCATTTGTTTCAGTTTGAACTAATTTAATTTGGCATAGGAAGGTATCAGTTGTAGAACTCAAACTAAAGAGCTGTCATATCCATTCTGACATCCATGACAGAAACACTGTCAGTCGAAAAAGAGTGAAATATGTGGAACACCAAAGCCCATCACTGTTGAGTCAATTCCGACTCACAGCAACCCTATACACAGATCATTCAAAATATTTATACTTAAAAAAATATTTTACAAAGGATTTAACAGGGAAACTCAAAGATAAGTCACCAGCATGAAACCAAGGTCTGCATTCTATTTGTCATTTTTTCTTTACATGGAACTGCTTGTTCTTTAAATCTAAGAGCCCATGATTGTTTTTTTAATACCTAGATTATCCTTGATCTCACCTTTCATCCTACTTCCAACTCCCATCAACCAGTGTTAACTAAGAGTTCCCTGAATTTTCTGGCATTCTTTTCCTAAGTATAACAATTAAAATAATCCATCCTTAAAACACATTCCCTGTATTCTAAAAGATCTTTTAGTCTAGATTAGTAAATTTCAGAGGACCCTACTGTAATATGATACTGCAATAAAACAGTGCTTCTCTAAGGCAGGCATCATGGTACCCCTCTGCATCCTCCCCAAGAGATCCTTGATGTTCCTGAGAGGTGATGGTGAACAGAGCCATTAGCAAAAAACTTCCTTCCAAAAATAAACAGTATTCTTTTCTTAAATGTGTCTCCATCTTTGAAGTCTCTTAATCTTCACTGTCCTTAAATTCTTAGCTATCTAGTGCTGCTATAACAGAAATACCGTAAGTGGATGGCTTTAACAAACAGAAATTTATTTTCTCACAGTTTAGGAGGCCAGAAGTCCGAATTTAGGGCACTGGCTCTAGGGGAAGGCTTTCTCTCTGTGTGGGCTCTGGGGGAAAGTTCTTGTCCCTTCAGCTTTTTTCCTGGTTTCTTGGAGATCTCCACGTAGATTGCCATCAGTCTTTCCCCATCTCTGCTTGCTCGCTTATTTAATCTCTTCTATATCTCAAAAGAGACTGACTTAAAATACACTCTAAAGTAACCCTGCCTCATTGACATAACAAAGACAACACATTATCAAATTGGATTATAACCAGAGGCATAGAGGTTAGGATTTACAACAGATTTTGGCGTGGCACAATTCAACCCATAACACAGTCCAAACCCATGATGAATATCCACCTCTTTCCCTATATCCTACTTCTCACTCCTAGGCCCACCAAAGAAATCGGTTTCAACAAGATTGAAATCCTAGAACAGTTTCTGGAGTTGGTAATGTAGAGAGACACGAAAAATGAACTGCAGACTGCTCCTTTTTTAACGGATAACACAGGTGAGTACCTAATTGAGACATTGTGGAAAAGCGGATTTCTTTTGGGAGTTAGAGGGAAAAGCAAGATCTCATCATCCTGAAGACAGGAATGAAAGGAGGGATTTTTTAAATCTAATATGAATCCTTCTAACGTTCATTAGCATAGGTCTGGAACGACCCGCTTTAACCCATACGTAAAGCCTCAGTTTCTTCAACTATAAAATGCTGACAGTAACAGCACCTTAAATGAAATAGCACAGGCAAAGCTAACGGCACAGTTCCGAGGGTGTATCCCCCCCTCACGCAGGAACTGGACGCAGGTGTTACCCGCCCTCTGCTACCCCACTCGCTTTCTTCCCGGCGCTCCCCTTGCCCCTTGGCCCCCTGTCCCCATACCTTTCTCGTCCTCGTCGATGCGCAGGGCAATGGAGATGTACTCGAAGGCCTGCTTGTGAAAGGCTCGGACGTGGTCGGCCTCACCGCCCGGCACAGGCGCCGGGGGCGAGGCGGAGGCTGACGCCGGCGAGGCCCGGGAGCTCCTCTTAGCGGCCATGAGGGCGCGGGAGAAGCGCTGACAGAGCCACACGAAGAGGAGCCCCAGGTGGAAAGCGACCAAGCGGAGCAGCGCGAAACCCACCAACAGCGGGTAGGAGAAGTAGTACAGGCTCCGCTTATGCGGCGACCGGGGCAAAGGGGCCGGCCCGGCGGCGGAAGGGGCGGGCACCGAGCAGGGGGGCGGAAGCCTGGGAGGCACCGGGCTGCTTGGGGCGCCGGAGCCTTTCTTCTTCCGTCGTCCACCTGGCGAATTCATTCACAGCTCCCACTGCTGCCGCCGCCATAACCCGCCTCCCGGAGACCCACGGTGACCAAGCGACGGCGGCGGCCACGACGACGGCCACAGACCCCCGCGCACCCGCTGGACCCAAAGCTCGGCACCTCCACGCGCTGCCCGATGGCTTCCTCCGTCAGAAGCACAGGCCCTTCTTCTGCCTCCTGCCGGGGGTCGGACACAACAGTTGCTCCACCCCTAACTCCTGTCCTGGCCGCCTGGTGGCTCAGCGCTGCAGCCGCGCACGCGCACGACTCCCGCTTCCCTCCTGTCTTTCTCCGGCGCGCACGCACACGTCCTCCTGTGTCTTTTGTCCGGCGCGCACGCGCATGACCTCCCATATCCTTCTCGGGCGCGCGCGCACGCCGCCGTCTTTGTTGACCTGGGTTCTAGTGCGCGTGAGCGGCGCCCACTAAGCAGCCCCTTCCCAGTGGAACTGCCATTCCCAGCGTGCAGTTCGGAGGCTGCCGACCAGAGGGGCACCAGACTGGTAGCGCCTTCATAGCAAGGAACTTTGGCAGTCAGCCCAAGGAAGGGGGAACTGTGGCTCAGGGTTGTTCGGCTAGTTCCCAGGGCTCATAACTCACAATGTCATGGTTTACTTACATTTCTTTCATCATTTTCTTCCGTAAAGGGTGATTGATCTGAGTTCCATCTAAAAAGAAATTCGTACATAGAAAATCCCAGAGAATCACAAGAAATCTACTGGAACTAATAGAAGGATTCAGCAAAGTGGCAGGTATAAGATAAACATACCAAATCTGCCAGATTCTTCTAAACTAACGAAGAGAACTCTGAAAATGAAATCAGGAGAACAACATTTATAATAGCCCTCTAAAACATAAGATGCATAGGAATAAACCTAACTAGGGACGTAAAAGACTTATGAAAAGAAAACTGTAAAACATTACTGCAAGAAACCAAAAGAGACCTTTATAAATGGAAAAACATACCATGCTCTTGGATAGGAAGACTTAACATTGTGAAAACGTCAATACTACCCAAAGCAATCTATAGATACAGTGCAATCCTGATCCAAATTCCAGGAACATTCTTTAACAAGATGAAAAAACTAATCGTTAACTTTATATGCAAAGGAAAGCGCCCCCAGATAAGTAAAACATTACTAAAAAAAAAGAATATAGTATGACGTGTCACACCACCTGATCTCAGAACCTACTATACAGCTACAGTAGTAAAAACAGCCTGGTACCAGTACAAAAACAGACACATAGACCAATGGAACAGAATCAAGAACCCAGAAATAAATCCATCTGTCTATGGACTTCTGATCTTTGACAAAGGGTCAAAGTTCATTAAACACAGAAGAGATAGTCTCTTCAACAAACGGTACTAGCTTAACTGGATATCTATTTGCAGAAAAATGAAACAGGATCCATACCTCACCCCATACACAAAAACTAACTCAAAATAGGTCAAAGACCTAAATGTAAAACCTAAAATTATGAAGTACATGAAAGAAAGCATAGGGACAACACTAGGGGCCCTGATTTACAGCATAAATAGAATATCAAGCATAACTAAAGACGCACAGACTCCAGAAGATAAACTAGATGACTGCACCTCTTAAAAATTAAATGCCTATGCTCATTGAAAGACTTTTCCAAGACAGTAAAAAGAGAACCTACAGACTGGGAAAAAAATCTTTGGCAATGACATAGCCGATAAAGGTTTAATCTCTAAAATATACAGAAAACTTCAACAACTCAACAATAAAAAGACAAGTAACCCTATCACAAAATGGGCAAAGGACATGAACAGACACTTCAGGCAGCCAACAAACACATGAAAAGATGCAAGCAATCATTAGAAATTAGATGCAAATCAAAACCATGATAAGATACCATCTCACCCCTGCAAGAATGGCACTGATCAAAAAAAAAAAAAAAATGAACAGAAAACAACAAATGTGGTTTGTGAGGAGATTGGAACTCATACACGCTGCTGGTGGGAATGTAAAATGTTACAACCACTTTGGAAAACAATATGACACCTCCTCAAAAAGCTAGAAATAGAAATACATATGATTCAGTAATCCCACTCCTAGGAATATATCCTAGAGAAATAAGAGCCATCACACAAATAGACATATGCATACCGCTTTTCATTGCAGCACTATTCACAATAGTAAAAAGATGGAAACAACCTAAGTGCCCATCAGCTGATGAATAGATAAGAAAATTATGGTACATACACACAACGGAACACTACTCAATGATAAAGAACAATAATGAATCTGCAAAACATCTCACAACATGGATGAATCTGGAGGGCATTGTGCTGAGTGAAATCAGTCAATCATAAAAGGATAAATATTGTATGAGACCACTATTGTAAAAACTCGAAAAGGTTTACACACAGAAAGAAACAATCTTTGATGGTTATGAAGGAGGGGAGAGTGGGAGAGGAAATCACTAACAAGATAGTACACAAGTGTTAACATTGGTGAAGGGAAAGACAAACACAACTTGACAAAGGCAAAGTTATAGAAACTTCCTAGACACATCCAAACACCTTGAGGGACCGAGTTACTGGGGCTGAGGGCTCAGGGACTCTGGTCTTAGGGGATATCTAGGTCAATTGGCATAACATAGTTCTAAGAAAATGTTCTACATCCTACTTGGGTGAGTAGCGCCTGGGGCCTTAAAAGCTTGCGAGCAGCCATCTAAGATACATCTATTGGTCCCATCCTGTCCAGAACAAAGGAGGATGAAGAAAACCAAGACACAAGGAAAATATTAGTCCAAAGGACTAATGGACCACATGAACCACAGCCTCCACCGGCCTGAGCCCAGAAGAACTGGATGGTGCCTGGGTCCCACCACCAACTGTCCTGACAGAGATCCGAGCAGGAGAAAAATGTAGAACAAAATTCAAATTCACAAAAAAGACCAGACTTACTGCTCTGACAGAGACTGGAGGAACCCCAAAGACTGTGGCCTAACTCAGAATTGAAGCAACTCCCAGAGTTCACCTCTCAGTCAAAGATTAGATAGGCCTATAAAACAAACAATAACACCTGTGGGGAAAGTGCTTCTTAGATCAACTATAAGGGACCAAATGGGCAACACCTGCCAAAAGCAAAGACGAGAAGGCAGGAAGGGACAGGAAAACTGGATGAATGGAAATGGGGAACCTGGGCTGGTGCCGACACATTGTGGGGATTGCAACCAGTATCATGAAACAATTGTGTATAAATTTTTGAATGAGAAACTAAAAAAATAAATAAATAAAACACATGCTAAGATTTTTTAAAAAAGAAGAAAAAGCAATGCATACCAATTTGGGAATTAGAATTATTACCTTAAAGGTAAAATAATGGTAAAGAAAGCAAATCTGACGTCAACCAAAACAAAAAAATGATAGCTCAGTTGGATGAAGTCAATGAATCCAGAGGTTTAAATTACTACATGTTCGGATATCTAATCTGAAAAATTAGTTTGAATAAGGGAATTCTTATTTATCCATAGTTTACTGAGAAATCCAGACTGTGTTTTGTTGTTGTTGTTGTGGTTGTTGTGGTTTGTTTTTAATCTACTTGATGGCTAGTCTTATAGGAAAGTGCCCACCCTTCCCTGCTCCCTGTATTCTAATGAGCTACCAGCCCAGGACTCCTCCTTCCAGAACACAGAAGTGGAAACACTTAGCCAATCAAACTTTCCGGGGATCTAGAATCTTGGGTGAAAACGAACTGCAATAAAAGGTAGTTGGAATTAAGTACTCTGAAAGAGCTGGCCAATCAGTTTGTCATATTGAGGTACTCAGAGCTGCCTGGGTTCCTGGTCACTTCATTATGTAACCTACCCAATAACCTATATTCTCTCTCCCTCTCCCTCTCTCTTCCCTTCCTTCCTTTTCTTCCTCCCTCGTTCTCTCCCTTCCTTCCTCTCCATGGATTTCTCTCTATCTTCCTTTTTTCTCTCTTTCTCTTTTTACTTGAGTTAGCCATAATAGTTTCCTGTTGCCTAAAACTAAGGAATCCTAACTGATACAAATCCCCCATTGTTTACAGTGTGAAGTTTACAAATACCTCATGCCCTCATGCTTACTAGTTGTGTTATAGGAGCCAGTTCTTTAACTAGTCGTGATGGTTAACATTGTGTGTCAACTAGGCCAGGCCATGATTCTCAGTGTTTACATGTGATCACCCCCATGATGGGACCTGCTGTAACTAGCCAATCAGTTGAAAGGGAGTTTCATTGGGCATGTAGCCTGCATCCAAATATAAGTGGATATTCCGGCTTTTGCCCTCTCTGGATCCTGCAGCTGCCTCTTGTTCCTTTGACCTCTGGTTCTTGAGACTTGAGCTAGCAGCTTACCTGCCAATCTTGGGATTCATCGATCCTCACAGCCCATGAGCAAGAGTACTGCTGTCCGACTTGCCGATCTTGGGTTCGCCGGCCCCTGTGGCTATGTGAATCAGGAGAAGCCTCTATCTTGATCCATGGACTTGGGATGTTTCAGCATCTACAATCACATGAGCTGTTTCCTTGATATAAATCTCTCTCTGTATATATATATTTATATGCTTTACTGGTTTTGCTTCTCTAGAGAATCCAGCCTAAGACACGAGTTAACTCCTCTTTCTGTAAAATGAGTGGAATAAGAATTAAATTACAAAATGAAATAATGCACCTAAAACCAGCATAGTACCTGCAACATAACAGGACTCAATAAATTTTATTTCTGTTTGTGCCACTACACCTGCAATGACACTCCAAATTTTAGACTCTACTGAGATCTCAATTTTCAGTACTCTCAATCCATATCTGCTGTTCCTTAGAATTATATCCTAGTCTCAAATCCATTTTCTGAATTAACATCTTCCTAAATTTAAATTTATCTCAAGAAAAAAAGTGCCTTCTCATCATCCTGGCCTTACAATCAGCCTGGCTTGAAGATCCTAACCTTCTTAACCATTTAACCTGCAGTGTGACAGCCTCCCAGTTTTTAGATGGTAAGAGCTTCCAGGATACTTAATCTTGAATGGAATCTGGACTAGTTTCACCAGGACAAAAAGGAGTAGCTGAATACTGTGCTAACTTGGACATTCAGTCATTTTATCACTTTAACCCATTAATTTATATACAAAAGCACCTAGCACCAAATATGATGTTCTTTTTTGTTTTATTTTGTTTTTTGATATTTCAGATCTACTTGCCT